TTCTATCTCGCTCCCATTCCCCCCCCTTCCCTTCCCTTTTCTCTCTATACCTCTCTGTCTCAGTCCCCCTCCCTCTTCCTCTTATTCTCTCTCCCACCAATGTCTGTCTCACTCCCTCCCTCTCTTTCCAAACTGCTTTTCTTTCTTTTGTCACTCATTTTTTGTGTGTGCACTGGCTCTCAGACATCGCACAGGCGTCTTGAGGATTAATTATTTGAGATGCGCAAATAAATAGACCTGTAGAACTTCTCCCGGGAAACATTCATTCAGCATATCTCACTCACTGTCTGTCTGACACCGACAGACACACCTCCAGTGAGCCGGTGATTAGAGATCACTCTGTGTGTGTGTGTGTGTGTGTGTGGCTTGAAACATGTTTGCCATCATCTCTAAAGCGAAGAGAGGACGTACGTGTGTTGAGAAGTGAGCTTTTGTTAGTACGAGTGAAATATGTTTGTTGAGGGGCCACGCCGTATGTGCGTGAGAAAGAGAGATAGTGAATGCGCGAGAGAGAGCGAAAGAGAAAGAAAGAAAGGAGAAAGAGATGGGGGAGTGTGAGGAAGGGAGGGCAGAGAGACATAAAGAAAGAAAGAAAGAAAGAAAGAAAGAAAGAAAAAAAGAAAAAGAATAAAAGAAACAGGTTTGTGTGTGTATGTGTGTGAGAGAGGCAGGCACAGTCAGTTCTGATAACAGCAACAGTAGGAGGAGGAGGAGCTTGGCTCCGCCCTCTTTGCTTCTCCCAGCTATAAATTGGAGCTGGTGTTTTTTGCTCCTCTCACTTCTCTTGAAGGATGAGGTCCCTGAAACATCTCAAACATCACACCAGGAGTAATGTGGTGAGTGCTCAACCCAAACATACATGCTGCATGAAGTGGCTTGTGTTGATATATTGAATGGAACTGTTGGTTAATTGCTGTGTTAAAGTTTGCAACTTTAAACTGGGGAAATTAAATAACTTTTTTCTCTCACACAGAATACCGCAAGAGTGTAATTTGTACGTTAACCTTTTTCTCTTTTTCAGTCTAGCCTCATGTTCTCTGCCTCCAATGCAGTATGTTTCTCCTGTTTTCTATCTCTCACATTTACTCACTCTCGCACACACACACAAACACAGGTTCATTCTGTGCTGGTCTTTACACTTGCTAGCGTTAGTGTTTTTTTTTTTATCTATTTTTATATTCACTTCAGCTCTTCTCATACAGTCACGGCTGCTATCGTGCCCGACTGTCTCTTTCATTTGTCTTTCTGTCTTAACACTCCTTCTCTTTCCTATTCCCTCCCTCCTTCTTTCTCATTTCTCACCCTCATCTTTTCTCTCTCTTTCTGTCTCCTTCTTAGTTTTAGTCTTTCACTCCCCACAACCCCTCCCTCTCTCTTTATCTCTCTGTTGTACTCTCTCTCACTCAGTCAGTTTCTTTCTGTCTCTCATCCCCTGCCGCCCCTCCCTCCCCCTCTTCTTTTCCTCTCACTCTTTCTTTATCTCTCTTTATCTTTCTTTTCTCACTCCCCTCCCTCATCCAGTCTTTCATTCTATCTCTCATCCCCCAGTTCCCTTCCCTCCCCTCCCTCTCTCTTCCTTCTTTCACTTGCTTCCTCAATCACCCTTTTTCTGCACTCACTCACTTACTTGCTCTTTTTTTCTCTGTTTCCCCCTATGTCTGACTGCTTTAAAAGCAGTAATTATAAATGACATGGTTATCAGGGCATCCAGGTTCCCCTTCTCATTTCTCGCTCCCTCTCTCTCTCTCTGCCCCCACCCACTTCTCTTTTTCTTTCCCCTGTCTCTGCTTGTCTGTCTCTCTTCCTCTGTTTAACAGCTGTCAGTCTCTCCCTCCCTCTTTCCCTTGTGTATGCTTGTTTTTGCTTAAGCTTAAATCCGTATTGTGTAGCTTTCTTTTTTTCAAGAACAAATCAAGGTACCAGCTCGTTCGAGGTGATAATGTGTGTTAACGACTTTCTGAGAACACATACATTTACTTGTGTGCACATGACAGTGATATGGGCGTTCTGGTACTCTAGAACAGAGGTGTAGTAAATTGACCTGTGCTGAGAGTTCAACCAAGTTCCCCTTAATTAATCCATACATAAGTAACATAATCATCAGCCTCAAAGAACAATTTTTCTTATAGGTGCTGCATGTAACTGGATCACGTTGGCTTTAGGCAATCTGTGAAGTCCGCATATTGACTAGACTTGCTGGTACTGCTAAAACGTCACTGTCCATCCTTTTCATAGTCAGCAGTGGCGGTCCACGGATGTAGACTTCCCGCTCGGACCCAGACACTCTTTGTGCTTCGTGTTCATTTAAAGACTGTGAAGGAAGGAAGCATGGCGCTCAAACCTGTCTTATCTCTTCTATCTAAAGCAATCTCTGGTGGACACAGAGGCAATGCGTTGTCAGACTCTGTCTCTTGCTTACTGCTGTGAAAATTAGAAAAATTATATATTTATATTTTTAATGAGAATTTTCACTATTTGACCAAATAGTGAAATTTTACGATTCTAGAAAAACAACGCTGCCATGTTGTCAGAAATTGCCTGTAATTTTTTTTATTTCTAAAGCAAATCCACAAACTCTATTTAAACAGCTCTTATTTGTTGCCCTGCATCAGTCAACTTGGTTGTTTCTGGCACTCATGTAGATGTGACGCTATTGCACTGACTTCATTGCTATTGTAGTGACACTGTTGCCATGACAGCCTTAGCCAGACGTTGTTGGTACGACTGTATTGTATTGACACTTGCAATGGCAGATTTACTCTACATTGATTCTGATTTTATGAAGTATTGCTAAGACCTGTTGTTTTCTCCATTGACAGGAAGAGCAGGAAGTTCCTCTGGTTCGCTGCTATTCTAAAGTGATGGAGCATGCAGTGGATGTCGGCACTCAGACTGACCCAGTGGTGGTCCTGTCCCTGGCCCAGGCTGCTGTGCTGGGACTCATATCACAGAATGAAATCTTTGGAGCCACAATTGCCCCAAACGGTTTCTACATGGGAGAGGGACGTGAAGGCCCTGCTCCTCCTGCAGACTCCATGGAGTATGAATATGCAGATCAGCTAATTGGAGCCAATGGAGACTATCTATCCGAGCCTCACGGGGAGAACAGGAGGCCAGAAGGTCTCTACGGGGCAGAACGCAGGCGCCCAGGGCCCCGTGGGAGGATCAAGAGGCCCTTGAGTAAAGGAGAACCAGAGGAGTCCACAGAGAGGTCTCCGGACACACCGAGTCAGGTGAAAGGAGAGAGGCCTGAGTTCTCTAGCCCATGTTATCTCTCGAATCCCCAGGAAACTGACAATGAGCCAGAAGTGTTGGACCTAACACCTCAAAGAGTGCCAATGAAAGAAGAGCAGTGTAACAAAGGCTACCCTGAGCCCTCGAGGGAGCCAGCCAGCCAACAGGTTGACTCTGACACTCAGACGCAAGCCCACCAAAGCCCTGTGGGGCATGGAAAAGCTTTGGTGGAGTCCTCTGTGAAAGGACGGGGAAAAGAGGAGGAACAGGAAGAAGAGGAGGAGGAAGTGGAGGAGAGAGCACTGAACCTGAAAACCACAGAGGAGGATGTGAGCCCAGCAATGAGGCGCTACTATGAGTCCAGTGTGACAGCATATGAGGCTGCTGAGATGGGCCTACCGGGAGACTATGAGGAGGGTGGCCAGACCATGATGTGGACGGAGGGTGAGAACTCCTTGGGTAGACGGATGCAGATCGACCGGCTAGATATCAACGTGCAAATCGACGAATCATACTGTGTGGATGTGGGTGAAGGCCTGAAACGCTGGAAGTGCCGCATGTGCGAGAAGTCCTACACTTCGAAGTACAACTTGGTTACGCACATCCTTGGTCACAATGGCATCAAACCACATGAGTGTCTGCATTGTGGAAAGCTCTTCAAGCAGCCCAGCCACCTTCAGACGCATCTGCTAACGCACCAGGGGACGCGGCCACACAAGTGCACCGTCTGCAAGAAGGCCTTTACCCAGACGAGTCACCTTAAACGGCACATGTTGCAGCATAGCGACGTCAAGCCTTACAGCTGCCGCTTCTGTGGCCGAGGATTTGCCTACCCCAGTGAACTACGTACTCATGAGACCAAGCATGAGAGCGGCCACTGTCATGTCTGCACGCAGTGCGGCATGGAGTTCCCCACTCACGCCCACCTCAAGCGCCACCACGTCAGCCACCAGGGCCCGATGACTTTTCAGTGCACCGAATGTCATAAGTCCTTCGCCTACCGTAGCCAGCTCCAGAACCATCTGATGAAGCACCAGAATGTGCGTCCCTATGTCTGCTCGGAGTGCGGCATGGAGTTCGTGCAGATCCACCACCTGAAGCAGCACATGCTTACACACAAGGTACTGACACAGCAGGCCCTCGAACACAAGGTACTTAAACCTCAGTTTTCGTAATCTTCCCGCAACCATCCTATTAGAAATGACTCCCCAGTGACTTTCAGATCCAGATCCCACCTACATTTCCCACCAGTACATGTTTCCATAAAACTATAGGTTAATGTATCATCTTCAGTTGTGTCTCGGGTATTGCCACAACAAGTTTCTGTGTAAATGGAGCTGTCTCTGTCAGTCCCTTCCAGCCATCGAATCCGCCTCCTACCCTGCCATTAACTCATCCCGTTTCCATGTCCCTTGCACTAGTACGGAGCTGTTTTGTTTTGTGTGTGCTTTGTGCAGTGAAGTGTGTCTCACAAGCTGATACTTCCTCCTTTCATTTCTCACTGTCCATGAGTATGATTCATCTTGTCATGACTGCAGTGTCAGTAAACAGAATGTGTCACAGGTCAGCAGGGTTATAAACAAAAAACACATGGGCAGTTAGTCATATCTTCAGCATTTATATCAACAGTTGTCTAGTTTGAACACTGTTGTTAGATTTATTGCTATTAGAGATAAAGATTGTCACTCCTACATGAGAACACTGGATGTTTCCCGTACACTATATGGCCAAAAGTTAGTGGACACCTGAACATTGCTTCAGTATGTGCTTTATAAATGCCAGTAATAGGGAGTTGGTCATTCCTAGCTCTGCTGGAAAGGCTTTCTACAAGATGTGGGAATGCATACAGGGATTTGATCCAATTCAGACACAAACAGATCAGGCATTGATCTTGAGGTGATGTGGCCTGGTCAAAGTTGCCGTTCTAATTTGTCTCAACAGAGTTTATTGGGGTTAAAGTCTGTGTTTTGTGCAGGCCAGTCAAGTTCTTCCACATCAGACTCAGTACCGTGTATTTATTGACCTGTGCAAGAACAATAGCCCCCCCCCTCAAACTATTACCCCAAAGTTGGAAGCACATAATTCTCTAGAATTGTCCTCACTGAAATTAAGGTGCCAAACACAAGGGGTAGCCCACACACTTATGGCCATGTAGTGTAGATTCATTGTAGTTGTTCTTAGCGCATTCTTAAATGGAAAGAGTGTTTCTGTGTGTGTTAGGACGGCAGTATTCCCTTGATACACTGGAAGTGTTCATTGAATAGTCAAATTGTTAAGACGAGAGAATGTTTAACCCTCTTCATTTGTTAATGTTTTAGCTTGGTGGAGCATCAGAACTCGCACTGCACTGCATACACAAATCTATTTACCCTGCAGCATTGCGATAACAACAGTGAATAAAGTATGTGTGTGTGTGTGTGTGTGAATTTGTTGCTCAGTATTATAGATTCTAGTGAGCAAGCAAGACAGGCACCCTACTGATGGATTCAGCTGCGCTTATGACAACTAACCACTTTTTCCTCATTCGGTTGATGCCAGTGATAAATCATTTCCCCCACCCCGCTCTCAAAAACGAATAAAAAAAAGTCTACCGCTAATTACAAAAGTTACTTTTAAAGTGATGGTCGCAATGGAATCATCTCTAAATATATTGTTGTTGTCTTTCTCTCTCAGGGTATGAAGGAATACAAATGTGATGTTTGTTCTCGCGAGTTCACTCTATCTGCCAACCTGAAGCGACATATGCTGATTCACACCAGTGTGCGCCCTTTCCAGTGCCACGTCTGCTTCAAGACCTTTGTTCAGAAGCAGACGCTTAAAACACACATGATTGTCCACTTGCCTGTGAAACCTTTTAAGTGCAAGGTGGGTACAAAGAAATCTTCCATGCTAACATAACCCTGCTGGAGTCCTCCAGACAGTCTGTATTTTTCTGCCTGTTATAGCTGTGCATTATAGACCTCTAATAGTTCCCGAATTGGTTTCTGTAGGTGTGCGGGAAGTCCTTCAACAGAATGTATAACCTGCTGGGTCACATGCACCTTCATGCCGGTAGCAAACCCTTCAAGTGTCCTTACTGCACCAGCAAGTTCAATTTGAAGGGCAACTTGAGTCGACACATGAAGGTGAAACATGGAATCCTGGACACCTCAACCGAAGGACAAGGTAACAATATGCAAATTTGACCTCAGTTTATACTTACTTGTGACTCTTGCTGTTCTCAATGTTATAGAAAATTAGAAATGACAAGACCGGTATAGCCTAGAGGTTTATAGAACTGTTTGACTCTGCCTCTCTGTGGCCTTATAGGGCGGAAGTAAATTCTGATGCTAGAACAAGTGTGTCCTGCAAGTGTAAAGAAAAATACCAAGACTTGTGATTATACATTTGACTGATTCAAAGGTTTTTGTCAATGATTTCATTTCACAAAATCATAAAGTATCATTATAAAGTATAACCCTCTGAATTCACGTTGTGTATATATGAATATATACCAAAAAGTGTTAAAGCTAATTGTGCTATTAGCCAGGCTTATATTTGTGTGTCTCCATTTCCTTCCTCAGATGCCCTGCCTCATGCGGAGGGTCAGGAAGATTACGAGGAAGAGAGCTTTGATTACAGTGAGAGGGAGAATCTAGCCAGCAACAACGCACAAGATTTGGCGAAACTCGCCAAAATTAGCTACTACAACTACACTAAGGTTGCTGCTCGCTACAACACAACTTAAGCAGCTGACTGAGACACAAAAATGTGGTTTAAGAGGAAAAATGACTGTCACGGTCATTTCTGTAGTACTCTTGGCTCTGACATGAGCCACTGAGGAAATAGCCATCATGAAGTGGATGTGCACTGGATGCCATTTTGACTCTGTGAAACAAAAGTGATAGCAGACTGAAACTTAATTTTAACAATGTCATTTCACATTAGAAACCATCCTGAACAATAAAGGACTGTGTGTGTAGATGCTTTTGCCCATCACAGTGCAGTTCTTGAGAAGGATATCATTTATAAGTCACTTTCAATGGTGCAGTGAAACAATATGCACAGATGTAAGAAGTCACTTAATCTATACAGACAATCCACAGCTCTTTAAAACCGAGACAAACAAGACCTAAGGCATGGGATAGTTCACCCCAAAAATGAATATTTTGTCATCATTTACTAACCTTCATGATGATAACCAAACTGTTGCTGGTAACCACTAACCAATGGCATCCATAGTATTTTTTTTTTCCATACTATGGAAGTCGTCTTCAAAATATCTTTTGTTCAACAGAAGAAAGAAATTCATACAGGAACATGAGTGTGAGTAAATGTTGACAAAATGTTAATTTTTGGGTGAACTATCTCTTCAATCTTGTTGGTGGTTTTACTGTCCAGCAAGTTAGAAACCACTTTATAGGACTTAACCAAAGCTGACAAAGTGCAAATAGTTCTCATTACATGCTAACTTTCCCAGCATTTAGTTTATAAGCATACTGTGACTTTTTGTAAAGATTCTTTTTCAGCAGTTTGTGGTTTTTGATGGGCATTTGCAGTTTGTTGCTTACAGTGGATTGATTGAGCTTGTGGGATGGGTTTTCAGTGCCTGTTTTTTTTTTTTTTTTTATAATAATGGGCCAGACCATGGCATTTGATCACTGTATGGCCTTCTGGATATTTTTGTTTGTTTTTACATTATTGCAAATAGTATTTATTGCTCAGTGTGCTTGGCATTCATAAGTGTAAATACATTGCCAGTATTCCAGATGGACGGACTTTATTTCAAGTTAAAAATTATAGAAGCTAAGCCATGGGTTTAGTTCAATTTGAGTATAATTGCATTATTTACCCAAGTGCATTGTTTGGTCCATCTTCTCTAAAATACAAGAATCTTGTCTAAATTATGTATTTTTTCCATCTTTAGTTTGATGAATGTAATACAAACTAAGATTTGTCCCTTTAAAGCATTCAATATTTTACAGAGCCATGCGTCAGCCAAAAAAAAAAATAAGTTAAATATTTCATCTTCATAAATCTCTGAAATGTCTTATTAGTTTGCAGTCTATTCTTCTGTGTTGTGTGTACTTCGTACTAGCTAACTATGTGGGCTAAATTAATTTCATTTTTAAAATGTGGTAATCTTCTAGCATCAGTTTTTTGGTGTGGCTTAAATGACCTTATTTCAAACCTCATCCAATTTAACATCCATTTTAATCTCCTTGGACATAAAACCTTGTAACGTGCACTGCATCTTCCACAAAGTCACCAATACTGGTTGAATTCTGACGAGGATGCCCTAAAAACACTGGACAAAAATATTAACTGCCCTTGTGTGTGCAAGAGAGTGTCTCATCCATCATTCCTGCGCAGAGCTCAGGAGTGATGAATGACAGTCTGCCGACATGTGACAGGGCTTGAGACCCAGCAGAGAATGATTGGGGAAATTCACCATGTATTCTCCATCTAGCTAGGCAACTCATAATGTTAATGTGTAACACAGGATTTGGTGCATTTTTATTGTTTTAAATGGTTGTGTCCTTGCATTTTGGGCAGTTAGCTCTAAGCTAGGCAGGAATTTTAGTTTTGTATAAGCTTTCAATTCTTTTGTTGCACACTGATGTGAATATGATGTTGATAAATGTTAAACGTTGTGCTATGGACATTATAAATTAATACATTTATTTACCTTTAAACATGTGGAGTGTGAGTGTGTATATTGTGATGAATCACACAAGAGCAGGGATCCAGGTGGCAGAGATTTATTAGAGGGTTTCCCACGTGGCCCTTGAACTTTCTTTCTCTCCTGTGGTTTTATACAGTATCTGACATACAGTACTTCATCTTACAAAAATAGACCCCTGGAGGTACAGGAAGAGATGGGATCACCCATCAGCAGGATCAGCTAACAGAACAGCTAGGAACATCACTATGTTTTTAATACTCCTCCCTTCATACGTTACGTTGTATTCATGACCTTTAAGTTAAAAATGAGGTACAAAAAGACAGACACTCTCCACGGTGTCCGGGCCCGTTGTCCTTCATTTGCCCAGAGCCTTGTCCAGGTTCGTCTTGATGGCATCCAGGAAGTCTGTGGTGTTGACGTAATGCTCGTTCAGCTTACAGCTGTGGTCACACAAAGACAAATGTTAATGACATCAGAGACATTAGCAAGAGAAAAATGTAACAATTGATGTCAGCAGTTTTATCTTTAGGGCTAGTCCTTTAATGGAGGTCAAAGACATTACACTTGGTTCATTTTTTTATATGCTCTGAATAATTTGCTGACTTACTTGGCGAGACCGTGAATGCAGCCAGCCAGATCCTTGGTCATCACGCCGCTCTCCACAGTCTCCACGCACACCCGTTCTAGAGTCTGAGAGAACCTACAGAGCAATGGACAATGATTAACAGTTACACTTACGTTTAAACATTACCAATATGACAGGAATGCAGCTACATTAAAAATAAAACTCCCCTTACACCCTCTCTATCCTAATCATACAGTACAGATGACTGGCAGTAATAAATGAGCTTACTTGATCAGGTCTGGGTTTCCATCAAGTTTGCCACGGTGTTCCAGTCCCCTGGTCCAAGCAAAGATACTGGCAATGGGGTTTGTGCTAGTTGGCCTTCCCTGTGTAATAAAGTTAAACGTTCAGGCCCCACATTGCAGACATTTCATATGCAATTGCACATGAAAAACTGGTATTTGCACTCAATTACAGAATACATACGTATAAAAAAGCAGGGTATATTAGATATTAACACTTTTAATACATTTTATTAATTACAAAATATTATAATTACAGTACATTATACAATAATATTAATTACAATAAACATTATGCAATGGATGCATTTACTTGATCACAAAAACATTAAAAACAGAAATATTTTGAAATAATTATTACATCTGAAAAAAAAAAAAATAATAATATTTTAATATTGAAAGCTGAATTTTCAGCAGCCATTACTCCAGTCCTGGGTGTGATAAAACATTAAAAAAAATAGTATTTAAATATAATTAATAAAGTAGTAATTCTGAAATACAGCAACAATAACAAGTGCTTCTTGAACATTTAAAAATAAATTGACAAGTTAAATGTTCAATGTTCAATTGCTGATGTTCAAGGCTGTAATTTTTTCTTATCACCACAAGATGGCATAAGGCAACTAAAAATCCAGTTGTGGAACATCCTGGTTGCTTTATTTATTTTTCAATTTAATGTTTTTTTTTTTTACCATTTCTTTTTTGTTGTTGTTTGTTGTGTTAAATTTTGAAACAAACTATTTTCAGTTTTCTGTATCAAATCTAAGTTGGCATGCAGGGTATGATACATAGCTAAATAAATAAATAAAATAACTGAAATAAACAAACCTTCTGGTGCTCACGATAATGCCTGGTTACTGTGCCATGAGCGGCCTCGGCCTCAATGGTCTTTCCATCAGGACACACCAGCACAGAGGCCATCAGCCCCAGAGAACCGAAACCTGCAGACAATATTCAACATCCTTTAATCAGGTATTAAATTATTTCAAATATCCTCTTTTATGCTTTACGAACACTTTAAAAATCAGTAGCATGATTTTCCACTTTTCTGTCTTTAGAGTTTACATAATCATATTTGTTTAGACCATAAATAGTCTAGAGCATGATAATGACTTAAAAATCTATGACTTGAAGTGCTAAAACCAAAAACTACTATAAAATAGTTCAGGTTGTAACTAGATGAACATGGGTGCAATATGATAAAACAATATAGTAAGGCTGACATTTTTTCAATAGATATTTTTCTGTTATTTACCCTGAGCAAGGATGTCAGACTGTACATCTCCATCGTAGTTCTTGCAGGCCCACACAAAGGCGCCTGATGACTTCAGCACCTGAGCCACCATGTCATCGATGAGCCTGTGCTCATACCAGATCTTCACCTTGTCAAACTCTGACTTGTAGTTTCTACCATTGAATACAAAAAAGACGGTTCAGTATTTTGCATTGAAATTGCTTTAGAAGAAAAGTATAGTTTCACATGTCACTGCTGTGACAGCATCTCAAAGCACTAATCTCATAATTACACAGCAACACACGCTCATAGAAAACACACGGTCGAAGTGCGTAAATAAATAGCGTGTCAAAGACACCGCTAAATCGAATTCTTCTCACTTCTCAAAGATATCCTGGAAAATGTCCTTGAATCTGCCATCGTAAGCCTTCAGGATGGTGTTCTTAGTGCTCATGTAGAGAGGCCATTTCTTCTGAATGGCGTACTGGAAGCAGCTGTGAGCGAAGCCAGTGATGGACTGTTAGAAAGAAACCAAAGACAGAATGTCACACAAGCAGGAAAAATAGATGTTCCACTTTCACAATGGGGAATTCAACTAGGTTTCGGAAACGCTGGCTGTGTAGTTCCGAAGGGTGAGCAAATATCACTCACTTCAAATGTGAAGTGGAAATGGTGTAAAAAATGAATTTCAGCACTATCAATTTGCAGCCTACAATGAACAGAGACTTCATTCAGTCAATCTCTTTTGAAGGGAAAAAAAGCCCAATAGCAGCACCACCTCTGGAGCAGCCTGAAGGCAGACACATCATCTGTTGTAAAGCCAAACAGACCATTCCCCTGACTACAAACCAAGACTTCAGGACATCAGGGTTCACTGCAGGTACATGAGCTGAGGGAGGTCATCTATTATCTAGACTTCATCCATCCGGAGGTGTAAGTGCAGAACATAACAGAATTTGAGTCAAAAGGCCTTAATTATACAAACTTAGAATACACGAGACAGTCTAAAAATGTCTCTAATTTAAGGTGTTATTTTTACACCTTCAAGACAGATCACCAGAGTACAAGCTCATTAACAGAAAAAAAAGAATTTTTCAAATTCATATTATCCATTTGCCAATTCTTTATTTCAGTGAAAATTATGAAGGTCCCAATAGGTATGCTGTTTTGAGTTTGAGTTCATTTCAATGCTGTGAACATTTTAACACTGCTGGATGCTGTAATTCAGGAAGTGCAAAAGTCAGAGGTCCCACAACTTTTAACCAATGAATTTCTGTCTTTACAAGTCTCTTGTGATTACTTTTAAACTACTTTTAAATCAACTTACTTTGAATTCACAAAAAAATCATTTCTAACCGATCAAGTAGTTAAAAAAATAACTTCATTCTTGTGTAAATTATTTCATACACACTACCGTTCAAAAGTTTTAGGTTGATAAGTTTATTACTTATGAA